GAAAGTCAAACGAGGCTCATAAGAGCAGAAAATGTGGGAGATATCAGTTGGCTGAATGTAATAGAACAAGTAGTAACAATTCACTCCCCATATGGGTCCCCCCAAGTTCCCACAGTGTTCCCAAACCAAAAACTCAACATTACAGGTATAAATAATCTTAATAAATTTATCAACCTAAGTCAATAAATACACTAAGCATATTGTAACAGCTGCTAATTTTCTAGACAAGTAACTACCCTAACTTAGTCCTTTTTTTATGGAAGTCCAAGAAGTACTCTCTACTGCTAAACTTAGAAATTTCATAAGTCATATTATTTTGCAAGGGAATCTGATCTATAGAAACACTTTTGAACTGGAAATGCTAATAAGGCAGCAGCATAGGAAGATTTGATTCTGCTTGAAAGATTCCCATCACAATCATGGCAAAATCTCTACATAGTTAACCTAAATCTCATATTGATCTTTCTTCTCTATCAGTAAAAGAACCAGCGTCTACAGCGGTATCATTCAAGAGAGCGAACAGAGTCAGACAAACAACAAGATCATTCTCTCTATCACACAAGAAGAGAAGCAAGGAAATTGGAAAAAAAAACACATTAGTCATAAAAGGCATGAACTAACATTCCCCAAAAGAGGCAAAGATGTTAACTGGCAAGCGTAACTTCAAAGTCTGTGGCTCAGGGTTTTGTTGATTCAAAAATAAAAATAGAAAGGAATTTATACACATTTAAAGAAGGCATTCAAAGTCTGTGGCTTAGAATTTCGTTTTGAGGAACAAAAGGACTTTTGATGGGATTGATGATGTGGATGGTTTTGATTTACTTAAGAATATATAGTTCCAGACTCTTAATTTTTTGTTGTTGGATCATCATCTTCATTTAATAGAGGATTTAGGGAACTTTATTGACACTTTAATTAATTTGTAAATTTTTGTATATGAGTGAGCCTCCCCTTGGTGCCAACATCAATATATACATTATATATATATATATATATATATATATATTTTTTAAAAAAAATTATAGCTCAGGCATGCAAAATCACCAAAGAAAAAATTTTGAGAAGGTTCTATTGGCACATGAAAAGTATCCTAAATCTATATATATTTATACATAAAAATAAGTACTTAAAAATGATAATAAATATAGTAAAAACAAAGATGACGTTAAATGAACAAAGATTGTTTAATTGTTTTCCAGAAAACACTTTTCATTTATTCATTATTACTTCACAAATTCATACCATCATACATCCTTTAAGGAACACATGCATAAAGCATATAAATTAGGGACTGAAAACTGAAAAATCTTTTCATACTCCATCCAGAACCTAAATGTTTGTTAAAACACATTCATCCACATACCTTCCCGTGTTGGCTGTTAGTGACTCTCAAACTTTGTGTGATGTTCCCATTACCATTTGCGTGAAGGGTATTGCCACTTGCTGGATCCAAGT